ATGTTTAATTCCAGCAACAGGGAGGGGAAAGGAAACAAAAAAACAAGCACACTCCCTTCATGAATTTTCACAAATTAAACAGACTCAGGTGACCAACATGGAGATAAATTATAAAACATCAGGAACCAACAAGATGCTCAGGGAGTAGCCATCTTGAGCGAGTAGCACAAGCCTGTGAGAACCCATGGTGGCATATACCTGTAATTCCAGCCTGCCTACAATGGAAACGGCAGGCGGAAACAGAGTCCAGGTGCTCACAGGCAGTGATTCTGGGGTATGTTGCACAGTAGAACACCAAGAAAGACCCTGCATCAACAGGGTTAAGAGAAAAACAACTCCCAAAAGTTGTCCTCTGACCTTCATCTGTGCATATGGCATAGACCACACACACACAATTTAATTTTAATTATAAAAAGGGAACTTATCACACCTAATATTCCTTTGTGTTGTGTAGACAGTGTTTCACATAGTCCGGGCTGGCCTCAAACTGTCTGTGCAGCCAAGAATGACTGCTGAGATTACAGGTCTGTGCCACCACACTCAGCCCAACAGTCCCTGAAAATCACAGTGGCTGCCATTATTCTTTGCTGATTCTCATTTGACAGTGAGTATCTGGAAGTTTTCTTTTATTTGAAAAACGGATTAAAACAAGCCACAGAGGCTGGGGATGTAGATCTGGAGAGCAGAGCACTTGCATAGCACACAGGAGGTTCAGGGTTTCATCCCTCCACTCACATACAGCTTAAAAAAAAAAAAAAAAAAAAAAAGCAGTTTCAATTACAAGTTTCATTAAGTCTATCTGCAACATGAATGTTATACAATTTTCATCTTCTAATCATTTTTTCATATCAAGGGTTCTTTTGTTGAAATAACAGCATCCATGAGATTCAGTATAAGCTCAATGGACCTACTCTGTAGTATTAATATTATAGCCCTAGACACACTTTTAAAACTACAAAATGTCACTCTAAGGCTTTGAGATAAGCTTTAGAGTTTAAGAACAGTACTCTAAGCACGGATCTCCTTTTTCTTTTTCCTATCTTAAGAAATTATGCTCATTATATACACAATTTAAAACCTCCAAAGGTGGGGGGGGTTAAGTTTCCCCATGAAAAACATAAAAAAAGCAGCTAAAAACAAAGCTCCTAACTGTTGAGAGTTCTCCTGTGGTTCAAATAATAAAGCTATTTATTCTAACAGAACATGGTGTACACCTGGAACGCCAGCACCTGGGAGGTTGAGACTGGAGGATCAGGAATTCAGGGCTAGTTATGCTCAGCTACAAGGTAAGTTTGAAACCCTGCCTCCAAACACCCAAAACGAAAAGAGAGAAAAAGCTTTGTAACCTATTGCATCATCAGCTCTCAATGACAAAGAATAACAAAGATAAACCAAAAAAGAAGGAAGGATGGCTTTTGCTTATGCTATCAGTTTCAGCCCAGGGTCATTTGGTGCCAATACTCTGGACCAAGGTCAAAGTACACCCCCAAAGGCACGCTGTCACCTCCTAAAGCTTCTATAACTTCCCAACAGCTCCATCAGCTACGGACCAAAGTCTTCAACTCACGCTTTGGGGAACACCTCAGGCACAAACCATAAATCATACATACTAAGTTTTCTCAGGTACTATCTTCAATAGTGACATATTTTCTGCCTTTATATTCTAGGTTTAAGTACAACAGGATGTAAAATGGCTTCATATACACAATTCATTTTTTTCTAAGTAGGGAATTCTCCACCATTCCTTAGTATTCTATTGCTGTTGAAGAGACACCATGACCATGACAACTCTTATAAAAGGAAGTATTTAACTGGGACTTGCTTACATTTCAGAGGTTTAGTCCATTATTACCAGCCAGTGCTCTTAACCCCCAGGCCATCTCTTTAGCCCTGTTTTGTTGCGACAAGGTCTCACTAGAAGCCCTGGCTGTCCTTGAACTCACAGATTCACTTGCCTCTGCCTTCCAAAGTGCCAGAATTAAAGGCAAGGACCACATGTCCAATTAAAAATAAATATTTAAACAAACAAACCATAATGAAACAGCACTATATCCATATACGAGACCACTAACATACAAAGACAATATATAAACCAGGGGCACATGCCTATAATCCTAACACTTGAGGTTAAGGCATGCAGACCAGTTCTGAGGTCAACCCGGGCTGTATAAGAGACTATATCTCAGGGTGTGCAGGAGAAGAAAACAAGAAAGGAATATACAATATGTAATAACAACACTTGCAGGCAGATGCACTAAAGCTTTATCAGAAGTATTTTACTACACCAAAGACTACAAAGAAAAAAGCTGCTGAATACATAAATGAACTAATTATAAGGTAGGTGCTGAGGGTACTAAGATATTAAAAATAAGACATTACCGTAAATATTACAGAGCACACTATACAGTCTACTGGTGACATAAACATAATACAAATAAAGCATAATTGCTAGAAGAGTGCTGTATTTTTAGTCCCTAGGCGAACCTAGAAAGAGGAAATAGGTTTCTTTCCTTTTTATGTGTATGAGCAAAATGCTCTTATGTGTATCTGTGCACCATTTGCGTGCTCGGTGCTTGCACGGTCAGAAGATAGTGTAACGATACTGTGGAGCTGGAGTTATGGATGATTGCAAACTGCCAGTCGGCACTGGGAATTGAACACATGTCCTCTGAAAGAACAAGTGTTCTTAACCACTGAGCCATCTCTCTACCCTGGAAGGTTTCTTGACAAGAGTAAAGGAGAGAGTTGCTTCTGAGGTAAAGGAAACAGATGTAGTGATTGCAAAGACTCTCCCAGTGAGCTTTATATTTTCGTGAAGTAGGAAAAGACATAAGTACAACAAGGATATACAGAGCAAGAAAAAATGTATCCTTGGCAGTCTTGGAACTCGCCTTGTAGCCCAGGCTGGCCTCAAACTCACAGAGAGATCCATGTGCCTTTGCCTCCCAAGTGCTGGGATTAAGGGTGCGCACCACCACTGCCCAGGATACAGAGAAACCCTGCCTCCAAAATAGATAGATAGATAGATAGATAGATAGATAGATAGATAGATAGATAGATAGATAGATAGATAGATAAGTGAATGAATAAATGAATGAATGAATGAATGAATACATACATACATACATAAAGTCTGGGCAGGGCTAGGGCTGTAGCTCGGCGGCAGACTGTTTTGTCCAGCATGCCCGGGGTTCAGTCTCTAGGAAGGACCAGAGAGACAACTATAAAAACAAGCTGGAGGTGCAGCTTAGTTAGCAGAGTGCTTCCCCAGCATGCAAGATATAAGCTCCATCTCCAGTGATGCATATACACTAATGGGGCACAGTGGCATACACCAGCAATTCTAATTCTACCAGCGCAAGGGGAAGAAGGGACAGGACTGCCACGAGTTCACAGCCAAGAATAAGACCCTGTCTCAAAAACACAACAACAACAACAAAAACAGAGCATGGGTATGTTTAGAGTGAGAGGGCAGGAAGACTAAGACCATCAGGTAAAGACAGGGCCAGCATCAGAGACGACCGGAGGAGGAGCTGGAGCAGAACCAAAAACCTGGAGGAGAGTACTTCAGGATGGAATCTAGGTCCACATAAATACCCTCTCTGGCTGGGCAATTAGGAATCCCAGGTCCAAGAATGAGTCAAAAGGAATTTCCTAAAAATAGAGTCTAACTCCACTTAACTCCAAACATCCTCAAAAGGTATGTTACAAGTCATTGTGAGGTTACAATTAATTCAGTAACAGCCAGTTAGGTAGGTCCCACAAAGACATAAGCCATAGAACGAGTAGAGGATAAGAACAGCAGGTGAAGTTTATTCCATTTCTATAGTTCTAGATTCTAAAAGTTTGTACATGTTTTCAAGGATTTTAGATAATTTCCAGATTGCGGAACTTTTTTTTTTCACGTTAAAAACATTAAGAGGGAATAAAAAGGATGGTACTCATCTTTGTTTCTTTAATACCTAGCTCTGTGCTGTGCAAGTACTTAATGGGGAAAAAAGGTTGCTGGGGCTGAGGGTATAGTTCAGTGACAGAGGACATACTTAGCATATGTCAAGGCCTTCATACAGTCTCCAGGACCACAAAAATGTTTGCTGAATGAGCCACCTGCGGTGGTACACACCTGTAACCCCTTCATTCTGGAGGGTAGGGCAAAGAAACTGGAATTCAAAGCCTCCCTGGGCTGCATACCAAGTTCCAGATCAACCCATACTACACAATGATAACCCTGCTTCAAAAAGTAATTTCTTTTCTTTAATGAGATTATCTCATTGTTGTAGGAAACCCGTTGGGTAAACACATTCCACAGGTCTGCAAGATAAACCTTTGCCAAGGTTTGAGACCATTACACACCAGGACACATCTACAAAACTTATAATTCTTGTTTAGTACTCTGCACCGAAGATCTGGTGTAACTGACTGCTCTACAAAGCTTTTTTACCCTTTACCCAGAAGAGTTTGTTCTGGTTTCTTTCTACCATGAAACAGCCCTTGAGAAACTCAAAGTAACTGCAAATAAATCCAACCCAAACGAAATCTGCAAATTTAACAAAAACTCACAATCAATTTAGTTAGGAGCTGAGCAATTACTTGTTGTTTCTCTTTGTTTTGCATCCTTGCTCTGAAGAACACCTACAAACTGTTTACAGGGCAAAGACTTTGATTCCAGAGTTACATTATTAATTCTCTTCCTCCAGATATTCATGTACTACAGACAAACTGACTTCTGCCTAACAGAGAATTAGAACCTTTCGTTTGCATAGCTTTGCACAGCGCTTTCACATATATCCACTTGGAAGGGTGCACAACCAAAACAGCAACTTTTACACTTAAGACACACACGAGCGCCTTATCCAGAACTATGTCTACCTCGATTTCCTCGATTGCACCTACTGCTGATGAGAACAAAATCAAGCACGAACACAATGAAATCTGTGGCACTGCCAGTCCCCGAGGACCAAAAACAAAAATAGTTTCAAGTGATAAAAACCGAAACTCACCCACTTGGCAAGGGAAAAGCAATCCCAAATAATCGCAAAAGGTGTTGGGGGGGAGGAACCCCCAAATTCTAAACCCCAGCCACGTAAATCTTTTCAACTCGAAACTTCAAATGCTGCAGCCAGCCCAATCGCAGCATAAGCGCCTCCTCTCTATTTTTTTCAATCTGGAGACACAACGTAGAACAATTAAAAAAAAAAAAAGAGAGAGAGAGAGACACGGCAGAACTCTCAAAGTTTCACGAAGTGAGGAGAAAGTCATCTCAAGTAAAGAAAAGGGATCCAAGCGAGAGGCGGCGAGCCGGGTCCTCCCGCCGGCCCCTCTCCCGCTCCGCAGCGCCGGGACCGAAGCTCCGGGAAGAGCCTCCGAGGGGGGCGGAGGACCCGCCGGGCCCCGCAGCGCGGCGCCGACGAGCGGCCGGGGTCGCCAGACAAAGACCAAGGCCGCCCGGCGCCGGCCCGGCCGGGTCCCCAACCGCCCCAGGAGTTGCGGGGAGCGACGCCGCCCGTCCCCGGCCCGCCCGGGCCGTTTCCCTCCCAATTTGGGAACCGCGCGCCCGGGGACAAAGAGGGCGGGCGCGCCGAGGGCGGCGGCGGGACGCGGGCGGCGACGCCCCCCGGGGCTCGGCGGGAAGCCCTCGGCGGGAGCCCCTTCCCGCCCCGCCGCTCCGGGGAGCCCGGCCCGCCGCCGCCGCCCCCTCCGCCGCCCCCTCCGCCGCCGCCGCCGCTTTCGAGGCGCCTCAGAGTTCGCCCGGCCGCGCCAGGCCCGGGTCCCCGCCTCAAGCCGCCGCTCACCCGGCGGTGGGCGCCCCCGAAGCCGCCTCCTCCGCCGGGCCTCGGCCCGTCCCGCCGGCCGCCGCCTCATGGGCCCCGCGTCGCCATCACCTTCGCCGCCTCGCCGCCGCCGCCGCCGCCGCCGCCGCCGCCGCCGCCTCCTTCGCCTCAGCCCCTCAGCCTGAGGCTGAAGCCGCTCCCGCCGCGCCCGCCGCCTCCCTCTCCCGCTCCCGCCGCCGGGACCCGCGGGGAGGCGCCTGCGCAGTGCGTGCCGCGGTGGGGGTGGGGGCGTCCCGTCTCGGCCTGGGAGCGGGGGCGCGGCGGCACGTGCGCCTCGGCTGGGAGGGGGCGCCCGGAGCGCGCGGCCCCGCGCCGGCGCCAACTTTCCGTGGCCGGGCGCGCGCGCACGCTCCCGGGCGGGTCCCGTAGGCGGGGGGCGCGCGGACCCCTTGCCCGGGGGCCCCCCTCCCCGGTGGGCGGCTGACTCGGCGCAGAGCGGGCGCCTTCCCCGCCAGAGGAGCCGCCGCCCGCGGCGTGATGGAGACACGCCTCACCTGACTTTTCCCCGGGTCGCGCCGCGGAGCTCCGCCGTTATCTCGTGCGCCAGGTCAGGAGGGCCTTGGTCTAGCGGCTCTCGGGATGCTCGTGGCCGGTCTAGGTTCTGCTCTGCAGTTACCGGGAGAACCTCCGCGGCCTCTCCGGTCAACCATCCCCGCCTGGTGGAATCGTGGTCTTTTACAGGCGTTCTACAGAGTTTTGAGGTCCTGGATTTCTCTGATTAGCAAGACCCTAATAGGCCACTTCCTCTTAACTCCTTGCAGTCCAGCAGGGTCCCAATTACAAGACTTTTTTTTTTTTTTTTTTTTAATGTACATGAACAGGAATTCCCCTGATCGAGGCTGCCGGTTAAGAAAAGGAAAACTAGTTGAGGCTATGGCTCAGCTAGTTGAGAGGCTATGGCTCAGCTAGTTAAGAGTTTGCACTGCTCTTGCAAAGGATCCTCACCACCCACTTCTGGCTGTTCACAACCACCTGTACAGCCCCTGGGGGAACCCGACTCCTTTGTGGGCTCCTGTACTGATGTGCGCATACCTACACACAGACACAGACGTAATTAAATATAATAAAAATAAATCCTTAAAGAAAAAAAAGGAAACGGAAAATTCCCCTAAATACTTTAGACTGGGTGACGAAAGTGCGGGAAAGGACCTTTCCTGCGCTCTGGAATTAAAAATGGACACGCTTTTAGTTTTGCTCTTGGCCAGGGAAGAAATTAAGTACTAACAAGTGAGACAGCTTGCAGGTCAGATTTCACCAGAAGCCAAGCGCCAAGCCTAGTTCACAGGTTAGGCACCGAAAGGGCTGGGCAACTGCTTCCCCCCCCCCCCAACCACCCAAGAAGTTTTGTTTGGCCACTATGACGTTTTCTCAAAAAAATGTAAACTGCCCCAAATTTTAAATCCTGGTTTCTGGCTTCTCTCAGAAAACCTAAGAGTGTGTTCAGGTTGAGCCTCAATTTTCATTTGTGTTGTTCCTCTCTATGTAGTCTTAATTGTTCCTGGAGCTTGCTAAGTAGACCAGGCTGGTCTTGAACTCACAGAGATCCTCCAGCCTCTGCCTCATGAGTCCTAGGACTAAAGGTGAGGGCTGCCATGCCCATCTGTGAGCACCTGTTTATGTGACAGCTACTTCTGACCCGTGTTTGGTTTACTGAGACCCAACACTGTCCCAAGTCAGCTGATTGAGTCTTTTCCATTCCTTAAAGGGTTTGGCCTCTGATCATCAAAGTTCTCCTCAGCTGGCTTTCCCCATCACATGACTTCTCTAGAGATATATTTCAATCGGCAAATGTGAAGAGCTTTTAAATACATGTAAATAGTCGGGGCTGGGGTATGGCTCAATGCTGGAGCTCTTACCTAGGATGCATATGGCCTGAGGTGTAATCACAGCTCCTCTCCTCACATCTTTGAACATGTTGACGGAAATGTTAAAGCCACAGCCTGTGCACACATGTAAACTGACGCAAATCACTTGGCAGAGCACATATCCGGTAAACTGTCGACATGTGAATACATTAGAACTTCAGCGATTCCACGGGACTGCTACAGAAACACCTACAGGTGTCCGCCAAAACAGAGCGTTCATAGAAGCACTTTTCACAACAGCCAAAACAAAAACAAAGGAAACTACTCAAAAAGCCCACTAACCACAGAACAGATAAAAGCTGCCATAGACATACGCTGGTACAATGTACATGAATGAGAATAAAAGCCGAATTGTAGAATCTCACTAAAGTTCCCATTTATATACAGTCTGAAAACAGGCAAAAGGAGGATTCTGTGTGGCTAAGAACAAAAATTACCTGGTGTGCAGGACAGTGCCTGGAAAGGAGCATGATGGGACTTTGGGAGCTGCTTCTGTGCTTGATCCGGAAGCTGAATACACCGGTGTGTTTAGTCGGTTATGTTGAGCTGTAGATGGGTCTTCTTTTTCTTTCTTTTTTTTCTTGGTGCTGAGAATCAAACTCCGGGCCTGCTGCATGCTAGGCGACTCTCTAACCACTGAGCGATACCCTAGACCCTGAGCTATGGACTTTTGCGTGTGTGTAGCGCCTGCACATACATGTAGGAGCCAGAGGTCAACCTCACGTGTCTTAGCTGCCCTCCACTTTATTTTTTGAGACAGAATCTCTCACTTAACCTGGAGCTTATTGATTCAACCAGTCACCAAGCTCTGGGGATCTTCTTTCTACCTCCTGGGCACTGAGATAACACTGCCAACCCGATGGTGGCACAAGCCGTGAATCCCAGTACCCATGAGGCAGAGGCAGGTGGATCTCTGTGAGTTTGAGGCCGGCCTGGTCTACAAAGTGAGCTTTGAGGACGTGGGTTCGAGTCTCAGCACCCACATGGCAGCTCACAACTATCTGTGACTTCCACTTCCGGTGCCCTCTTCTGGCCTCCACTGGTACCAAGCATGCATGTGCTACACAGACAAATAGGCAGGCAAACCACACATACACTTTAGAGTCCGTGGGAATTCTACAGAAACGCCTGCAGACGTTCACCGAAATACCGCGTCAGAGTGTCCGTAGAAGCGCGTAAATAAAAATAAAATTGAGAAAAGCACATCAATCGCAGGGCGTCTGCTTAATGTGAAAGGCCCCGCGGTTGAGTTGCACGTGACAAAGTGGGTAAAGGTGACGGTCTGGGTTTGAGCCACATGATAGAAGAGACGCTAACTCCTTCAAGTCACGCTGCTGACGGGAGATCCGGGCTCCGGGATCTCCCAGGAAGAGAGCAATATGGCCAGATAGGAGCCCAAGAGCAGAGTTCTCAGAGCCCAAGAAGCCTGCCTGCCTGACCAAGGGTAGGGATGGGGATGAGGGCTGACAGCAGGCCCAGGACAGGTGCCTACACCCAGGAACGAGGGTGGTACGCGCCTGTGCTGAGGCTGGACAGGGAGGTGGGGGTGCGCATGCGTGCAAGGGTGCGTGCGTGCCTCCACGCTTCAGTCTCTTGGCTTCCTCCCGAGGATAGAGTCCCTGACTCCCTTCCGCAGCAGCACCCAGCCACGGTCGGTTGCACCCCAGCCTTGGTGTATTGCACCCCGGTCTGACACGATGCTAAGGGCACCTCATATCTATCGTGTAGACGTCGTCGTGCACGCAGGCGCAGAGAGAGGAGAAGTAGAAGTGGTTTTTACTGAGGTTTTTGTTGTTTGCGGACAGAGGTTTACACTGTAGCCCAGGCTAGCCTTGAGCTTTTCATGATTCTCCGTCCTCTACTACCCTGAGAGCCAGGATTCTAGGCATAAACCATCATGGCCAGCTTGGCTTCAGCAGGTTTTAATGCAGATATATATGTACATATAGACATATATGTCTATATAATATGTATGTATAATATATATTATATAATATATAATATATGTGTATAATATATATATATATACATATATTAGAGAGAGAGACAAGATCTCTTTCTGTAACGCTGTTTGTCCTGTAACTCCGTATATAGACCAGGCTGGCCTCTAACTCCGTATGTAGCCCAGGCTTGACTGGAAGCTCAGATCTGCTTCCCCCCGCCCCCTGAGTTGTGGGATTAAAGGTGTGTGCCACTCGGTTCGGCCACTGATGAATATTTACATCAGTGTGGCGGTGTGTCAGCAGCCCATCCTGGACGGCGCAGTGTCAACTATATCCCCAGTTGTGATCCCCTGGACAGGCGTGGGAACTGCACCCCACAGAGCCCCCCACGGTGCCCTCATCGCGCAAACT